GGAGGCACCTGCGACCCTGGGTCCCCTGGCCACCTGCCGTCCCGAAGACCCGGGCAACCGAATGCACGCAGCCCAGGACACCACCCCAACTCCAGAGCAGACCCGGGGGTGTGGGGTGACGGCCGCCCAGCACGCCGAGGTCCTGGATGGTAACGACCCAGGGACAGAGGGCGGCCCTGCTCAGCCTGCCCGGGGCCGGCTGTCCCCGTCCCACCCTGGCAGAGGGCAGGGAGCTCTGGCCTCCTGGCCCGAGGTTTAGGAACCCAAAGACCCCCGACTTCCTTCTCCCCTGTCCCTGCCATAGCCACAGAGGCCAAAGAGGGAAGCGGACGTCAGCAGGAGCAAAGCTTGAAGCCACTTTCCGCGAGCCCTGTGAGCTGCGTCCCTTGTGACAGGGACCCGGCAGCGAAGGGAAGTGGCCGCGACTTTCCAGCCAGGGGAACGAATGGCGGTCGTCACCTTGAACTGTGCCTCTGGTGGGCCAGTGATGATGACCATGCGGACCTTGGAGTCGGGTGTTTCTGGTGGTGCGATCTACAAAGCAAGGGGCGGCCTCAGAGGGACATTTCCTCGGGAGCCTCCGACCTGCTCCTGCCCAGCCCGGGAGCCCACAGGGGACCGGCAAGGCCAGGCGGAGAGCCGGGCTGGGGTGTGGACTCCCCCGGCGCAGGCGGCACGGGGCACCGGTACCTTGATGGAGGCGCTGGCGAAACGCGACAGCTGCTTGATGTGCTGCCCCTTCTTGCCGATGATGGCGCCCACGGCCTGGGCGGGGATGAACACCTGCACGACCTCTTGCTCCGGGGCCTGCTGCGGGACAGGGCACCTTACCACCAGGGCAAGAGCCAGGACGCCAGGCCGGGCAGAAGGGCCCCTGGGCCTCCCTTCCCCTCCCTGCCAACTTCCAGGGCACCAGAGACTGGGGGGACCCGGGCCCTGCCTACCATGAAGGAGCTGTAGGGGGCAGCCCCCGAGACGCTGCTGGGAGGTGGCGGGACGGCGCTGGACGAGGCCGGGAAGAGCCCCACAGCAGCCAGGTTGAGGCCGGGGATCAGGTGGGACTGCAGCTGTGGAGAGGCGAGGAGAGGTCACAGGCAAGGTCAGCGCAGCCTGTGAAGGGCACTGCTAACTAAGCAGGGCGAGTGGACAGCACCAGTGGGCACAAGAACCTGCCAGACCTGCGGTTTTCCTACTATCTCACACACGCAGAGCTGGGCATGGTGGTGCAGACCTGTGATCCCAGCACTCAAGAGGCCGAGGCAGGAGGATCGCCTCAAATTCAAAGCCAGGCTGGGCTACACGGTGAGTTCAAGGCTGGGCTGGACTACACAGATGGAGCCTGTCTCCTGAGGCCAAAGACCAAAACCCCTTGCCGTGCCCTGTTATCCTAGCACTCGGGAAGCTGAAGCACGAGGATCACTATGAGATCGAGACCAGCCTGGGTTACATAGGTCAGGCAGCCTGAACTACATGGCCAAGACCCTGTCTCCTCTAAAAAAGTACTAATGGGCCTGGGATTTGGCTCAGTGGTTCCGCCGCCTGCCTTGCAAGCACAAGGGCCCAAGTTCGATCCCAGGTACCAAAAGAAAAAAAAAATTAAAAAGGAACAAAATCCAATGAAAATTATGGACCCTCATATTGAAGAGTACAGAAATCACCAGTTTTACATGGGGGCCACATTTGCATGAAAATGATAATCATTTTTATAGGAAGATGACCTGAGACCCGAGACTCCAATCCCAGCGATCTGTGAAACCCACAAGCAGAGCCCCACCCCTGCCCCCAAAGCGCTTCCTTCGGGCCAGGCTAGGAGCTGTGTGTCCCGGGAGGCCCTGGGTTCGAAGCGCGGCACCAGGCCGGGCAGGGCCTCCCTTAAGACGCTGCTGGGAGCACAGGGTGCACACACGCCATCCCACCCACAGGGGGCGACTCACGCTCATGGCGGCCACGTCGTTCTCGTAGGCCTCCCGGACCTTCTTCATGATCTCCTGCTCTGCCCGGCAGCAGTTCTCAATGGCGCCCTTCACTGTGATCGTCCTCTCAGGGTTGTAGAGTGTGAGGTCCTGCAGCCTGGCGAGCGATGGAGCGGCTGGGGCTTTACCAGCTGCCAGGCCCGGGTCTCCAGGCTACCTAACTTCTTTTCATTTTTACTAACTTCCCTTTTTATTAAAGGGAAGTTCTCGCTGTGGAGCCCCCGCTGGCCTTGAACTCGAGGAGATACTCCTGCCTCAGCCTCCCGAGGGCTGGGGTCACAGGTGTGTGCCACCACACCCGGCCTAGGCCGCTAACTTCTGACTCTCTGTCTCTAAGCTCCGGATGCTGGTGGTTACCAGGCGGGAAGCGAGGCTCAGGGCGATAGGCGACAATGCCCATGTGAAGCCACTCTGAACAAAACTGGTCACCTGCAGGCTCTGGGCACTGCCACCGGGAGGAAGCCTGCGGCAGCCAGTGTCCCCAAAGCACGAGGCCATCCCCTGCCTGTGCTTTGCGAGACTGAGAGGGCACAGGGCTTCCAGATGAACCAACCACCCTCGGTTCCCTGGAGAGCGGCCTAGCCCACGTGGGACGAGCTGCAGGCTGTCGCAGGGACGGTGACAGATGTGTGGGAGGACGGCAGCGGGACGGCCAGCCTGGCTCTCAGGAGAGAGACGTGCCCTGCGCTACCCCGATGACTGTGTGCCGACTTCAGGAGGTGGTGGCCGTGCTCAAGGACAATCCCACCCCCACCCCACCGTGCGCCACCCCGCAGGGACCCGCGGCTCACGAGGAGATGGTGATCTTCGTCTCCGTGTCCTGCTCCACCTTCTTCAGGTTGCGCCCCTCCTTGCCGATGAGACGCCCCACGAAGTTATTGTGGGCCAGGATCTTCAGGGGGACCTCGTCAGCCCTGCGCAAGACAAGGGGGTGAGAGCGCATCCGGCAGCGGTGACAGGGCTCAGAGAACCGGGGTGGAGGATGGCCGTCCAGAGCTCAGGGAAACTCGGGGCCACTGATTTGTCTGAATGGTGATGATCCCAACATGTGCACGTCACAGCGAAGTGAACACAGGCTTCAACAGTGTGGGTAAAGAAATCCCAGCACTTGGGAGGCTGAGGCAGGAGGATTGCCTCAAAACCAAAGCCAGCCAGCCTGAACTACACAGACCTTGTTTCCAAAAAAATAAGAAAGAAGAGATAAACGATCTAGTGTGGTGGTGCACCCCTATGATCCCAGCACTGGGGAGGCTGAGGCAGGAGGAACACTGACTTAAGAGGCCAGCCTGGGCTACATAGTGAGTTCAAGGCCTCCCTGGACTACAAAGCAAAAAAAAAAAAAAAAAAAATTAGCTGGGGATTTATTTAGCTCAGTGGTTCTGCTGCCTGACTCGCAAGCTCAAGAACCTGAGTTCAATCCCTGGCATCCAAACCAAACCAAAAAAAACAAAAACACCCAATAAACTCAAAGAAAAAGAAACTCAAACCTAAAAAATAAAATCTGCCACAAATACCCCCGACCACGCTCCCCCCTGCTTTAAACACACTTGAGAGTCCTCTTCCCTGAGTCTTTAGTTTTGTTGCCGTGACTGCCGGGATACCCAGAACTGATTCACAACACTTCCCTTTCCCGTATTCCGACTGGGAAAAGCCGGAAGTTGCATGCAGGATAGCAGTGGATACAGCAGGGCGGGGGGCCTGCCGTGGTTTCACAGCCTGGCTTTCCACTAGGTGGCGCTCGGCTGCAGCGGGTCACTGCGTTTTTCATCACATCTTATAGAGATGCTCATGAAGAAGGGCTTCCGGAAATGCCACCGAAAGCATCAGGAATGACAACGGGGAAGTGTTTAGAGGGGAATAAATGGCAATGTTTCTTTTGCTGGAACAAGTTTTCTAAACTTAAATATTCACCACCCCTTGTGTGTCCCAAATTTCTGCATTATTGCTATTAAAATGTGGACAGAAGGGCAGAGATTTAGCTCAGTGGTGCCGCCACCTGCCTTGCAAGCTCAAGGACCTGAGTTCGATCCCCAGTAACCCCACACACACATACAAAGTGGGTGTCGCTGGGAGTCGTGGTCTGGGAGGCTGATGCAGGAGGATCTCAAATCCAAAAGCAAGCGCACATGTGAGGAGCTGGAGGTCCCTGAGGCCCTGCCCAGCAGATCCTTACGTTTTGGTGTCCTTGGCCTCCTTGTGCATGATCTCCAGGATCATCCTGCAGGCAGAGGAGCAGCCCTCGGGTGTGGAGTGCACGCTGATGGCCTTCTCAGCTGCGCCCGCGTTCTCCTTCCTGTGCACATCGATCCTGTACAAAGGGACAGAGCCAGTTAGTTCCCCAGTGATGGGGCTTTGGGCTTCTCCGTCTAAGACACACAACCCTCTCTTCTTGGGGAACAGCAGTCAAGGACAAAACTGGGGGGGGCAAAGGTCCAGTGGGAGACAGTGACAGTTGTTGGCCACAGGGCTGGGCAGGGGCAACTGTGCCAACAGCAAAAAAGCCAACGCCTGCGTTATGAGCAAGGGCGGGCTGGGATCTGTCTGTCGCCAGGCACACACCGAGTGGCTATGACTAGACAAGGGGTTGTGCTGGAGTGGAAGACGGCCCCCCATTGTGGGGACCATGGATGGTCACCCTCACTTTGCCAGCCTTGGGGCCACCACTAACAACCAGGAAATTTTTGAGCACTGGGAGAAGCTGACTCTCAAGACTGGGCTTGTTTAAGGAGACTTTTAGTGAAACTTTACAGAGAACCCTTTTATTGATGGATCGAGACAGGGTCTCGCTACGTAGTCTAGGCTGGCCTTGAACTCACTATGTAGCCCAGGCTGGCCTCAGACTCTCGGGGCTCCTCCTGCCTCAGCCTCCTGAGTGTGCCACCACGCCTGGCTCATGAGAAACCACCTTGTTAATGACAGCCCAGTCACTGCTGCCAACATGCATCTAGCCCATCTCCCTCCCATCTACCCATCCCTACAGGGGACGGAGGATTGGAGGTGGTGGCCCTGGAAGGTCCCTGAAAACATTCGTGAGAGAAAAGTGCCCCGCACACCCGGCCCAGGCCCGGCCAGCTCCCCGCCTGCCTCACTTGGACTGCGTCTGCTTGGTGATGTTGCGGATGGTGGCGCCTTCCTTGCCGATGATGGCGCCCACATACTGGGTGGGCACCAGGAGCCGCAGCGGGATGTCCGCCTGCTGCTGCTTGGCCGGGGCCCCCGCGGCCACCGGAGAGCCCTGGCGGGGCTGACCCCGAGAGCCGAAACCACCTCGGCGCCCGTTCTCAGGACCCTGCGAGATCTGCTCATCCGGGATGTAGGAGACCTTGAGGGCGTGGTTCTCCAGCTGGTGGCCGTTCAGCTTCATTATGGCTCTGGGGACAGAGACGAGACCCTGGCACTTCCTGCGAGACGACACCAACGACAGCCAAGGCCGCGGCCGGCCTTATTTCTAAGCTCTTGATCCTGTCCTCCCTCACACGTCTATAAATAATCTACTGGTTACGGCGGCTTTGAAGAAAGCTTTGAGAGTGGAAGTTTAAGTCCAACATGGTTCAAGGTCCGGAGTTCGATCCCCGGTACAAAAAAAAAATAAAACTTTAAAATGTTATCAAGCAGGGGGTAGGGATTTAGCTTAGGTGAGGGCCCTGGCTTCAATGTGCCATGAATGAAAGAAGTCACAAAGTACTCTAAAGCTAGGCCAGAGGCAGCAGGAATCTCTAGAACATTGTCAGCCCAGGAGGGACGCATCAAATAGAAAACAGGAGGGCCAGGCACTCGGCTTAGTAGTAGAGCGCTTGCCTACCACACCAGCCCTGGGTCCCATCCCCAGCACTGCAGAAAATGAGAAGGCAGCACAGGGCCAGCTACAGGTTAATAGGCAGGCACAAAACGTGCGATGAGAGGTGGTATTTCTTTATTTTGTTTTGTTGAGACAGGGTCTCCCTGTGTAGTTGAGACCGACCTGGAACTCATTATGTATGTAGCCCAGGCTGGTCTCGAACTCACAGTGATCCTCCTGCCTCAGCCTCCTCAGCGCTGGGATGACAGGCGTGCACCACCACGCCCGGCAAGAGGTGGTATTTCTCAGCCACACGGCTGCGAAGTTAGAAACTGGCAGCGGCGGGACCAAAGGATTCCCTGGAAAGCATGAGCCAGCCGCGGGTTCCAAACCATCACGGCCTTGGGTCCGGTCCACACGGCTCCGGTTGAAACCCTTTTGAGGCCCTGCAGTTTCCCCCGAGCTTCACTAGATGGCGCCGTCGACGCAGCAAAGGCCACAGCCCCACCTTCCGGGGAGGCTCCGCGTCCCTCACCCCTGAAACGTTTGTGCCGTCGACCTCCAAGTTTCTGAACCTCTGCGGTCCGGGACACAGGACAGACAGGAGATACACACCCCGAAAAGTCCTCTTCAGAGCCCAGCCCAACTCCTCACCCCACCGCCCGCACACTCACTGCCTGGTCTGCTCGCGGTTGGAGTAGGTGACGTTCACCACCGCGGTCTCGCTCTCGGTGTTCACTGCGGAGACAAGAGCCGCGGTTACCCCAGCCGTCGGTGGGCTGGCTCAGCCTGGAGTGGGGCCAGTGAGCCGTCCACACTCGCCCCGGGTCCATTCCGAAGCCTGACCCCCAGCACGGCTGGAAGTGTGGAAGGGGCGGGGCTGTGCACAGGGCTCAGAATCTGCCTGCATGTCGCCCAAGGGAGGGGGTTCCAGCCCTGAGGGCCCCCAAAGGGAACGTCTGGGCACTAGATTTGTGTGCGCAGTGAGCCATCTGCTTCAGGGATCTGGTTGCGAAGCCTGCAAAGCCCTCGCTGGAGTTACCGGAAATCACAGGGCGTGGGGGAGCACTAAAGAGGCCGAGGCAGGAAGGTCTCCACAGGTTCAAAAATCAGCCTAAACTACAGAAAGACCCTGTCTCAAAAAGTTCTTATTATTTTATGCATTCTTCTGGTGTTTTGATCCTCGAAGTACTCTCTCCTATAGAATGGGCTGGACACTTGATTAATAGAACCCACCGAACTGGGCCCCTATTTCTCACTCTGGAGAGTTAGTGTCTTTTGAATCCATCACTACTGAGTGAATCTGGGTAGAGCTGTGCTCCACCCTCGGAGTGGGGGCCCCGCTGGCTCCAAGACTGTGCCTCTGGAGCCCCAGGACAAGGTGCTAGGTCCCAGAATCTCAGCGTGAATGCCCTTAACTGCTCCGGCCTTCAGTAGGGTCTCCCCAGCCGGTGGCAGGATTCTGCCAGAACAACCCTTCGGTGACTATTGGCAAAGAGGGGGCCGGAGCTTTCGCAAGCAGCCTGATAAATAAGCAAATTCTATAAAGTGCCAGAAATCGATGAGCCTCAGGAGAAAGAAATCATTGGCAAGAGGCTGGGACAGACTCAATTTTAAATGGTCAGACAGACTGGACTTCACTTAGAAAGTGCCATTTGAGGCCAGGCATGATGGCACAGCCTGAGATCCAGCACGCAGAAGGCTGTGGAGGGAGGAGGATCCCAGCCACTCTGAGGCCAGCCAGGGCTACGTAGTGAGTTCAAAGCCAGCTTGAACTACATAGCAACACCCTGTCTTAAAAAAAAAAAAAAAAAAAGAACTTTTGGGGGGTGGGATTTGAGTCAGGATCTCACAATGTGCTGTGTGTAGTTCTGGCCTTGAACTTGCTATGTAACCAAGGCTGGTCTCAAACTCTTGGAAATCCTCCTGCCTCAGCCTCCCACTGGGATTACAGGTCTGCACCACCACGCCCAGCAGGAATTTATAACCCTGATAATGGAGAAACCTTAAAATCCTACCACATGTTTATGATTTTAGAGTCTCAATTATTCCTTCTGTGAGGCCACTCTTCAAAGATTCTGCCGCCCAACCTGTATTAACTAATAACTTCTCTGCTTCTGTTTTAACTGAGCAAAGACATATGCGGCCGCCAACAGGGACTTCTAAAAAGAAAGGCGAGGGCCGGGGATTTAGCTCAGTGGTTCCGTTGCCTGCCTCCAAAGTGGAAGGTCCTGAGTTTGATCCCCGGTACAAAAAAAAAAAAAAAAAAAGAAGGCTAAAAAGAAAGGCGACCAGTTGGTTATTCTAGCCAAAACCAAGGAAAGGGAAGCTTTTCAGGCAAAAGGGTTTTAAGACAGGGCATTGTGGTGTGTGCCTGTAACCCCAAGAGGCTGAGGCAGGAAGATTGCCATGGGACACCAGTCTCAAAAGTCCACAAAAGGGCTGTCCACTCCCACAGATGGAACGCACAGTGTCATTACTAAAATCGTGGTTGGTCCCTCAAGCCTAGGGACCCCATGCTGGGAACCAGGGACTTTACCCAAGCTTCTTCCTGCTTGACAGAGAGAGCCTGAGAGAACCCCGTTTCCACTGGGAGCAGCGGGGCCCCAGCCCGAGCTGTGAATCTAGCTCCTCCCCACGCTGAGGCAGAGCAGAGCGGAACCCAAGCCTCGCGCGCCCTACCGCGCCACGCCGCGC